CCTGGGATTTCTGAAGGCCTGTCTTAAGAAAAAAGACTGAGGTACTCTATGCCATCAAGTCCTTTGTCACCCACTCCCCTGCTCATTTCAGCAGAAGATTCACATTTTCCCTACTCTTCCTTTTGCTGCTGCTGTACCTGGAGAAACTCTTCTTGGTGTCCTTCACATCCCTTGCCTCGTCAACTCCAGACAGGCTTTGGCTTTCCTAACCCCATACACCTGCACACTTAGTGTCTCGGTATAGCTCCTAAGCCACCCCTCCCCCTCTTGTTGGCTTCATTTTTTTAAGTTTAGCCAGGATCAACTTGCTTATCCATGCAGGCCTCCTGCCACCTTGCTTGACTTACATACATTCAGATGAACTGTTCTGGAGCTTGGAGGTGAGCCTTGGGCAGGGGGAGGGATGGGAATAAAATAAAATGAAATAAATCAGCCAGCTCTCCAGGACTCCTCTTCTCTCCAGGACTGTCTGTTGGGTTCTTCCAGGCAGGTGTCTCAGAAGCTTAAGGGGGGCAGCACTGTGGGGAAGTGAGGGCCAGGGCCAGTTATCTCTCCTGACATCCAGGGTTGTGATCCTGCCTTTTGCTGTGTTCCCTCCTGTCAGGATCCTTAAGTCCACCATCTCACAGCCGCTGCAGCCAAGGCTGCCCCCAGCCTTCACACCCCTATACTGTCATTGACTCCTTGATCACCTGCGTCAGGAAGTTATCGTCAACACACTCCAGAAACCGCCTGGATTGCTTGTGCCCTGCTTTTTTTTCCACTTTTTAAACAACAGAAAACAGCTGTCCCTTACTGTGAGGGTATTCTTACCTTTAGTACACGGCAGGGTGACCAGATATTTCTGGTCTAGCCTTCGATATTTCCAGTACCACCTGGTCACTGGCATGTTGCTGGCCACTTGTTATAGGGCATTAATTTTCTCAGACTTTTTTCTTTTAAAAAGTAGAAATGTGACTGCTGTGCAGAGACCACAGTACAAGTAATTGAACTCTTCTGATAATGCAATGTGAGGCATGGTTTGACTCTGAAATTCTATCGCTATCACTTCTGCAAACACTAACCTGTTTAGTGCGACATGGCTGCAATAGAAAGGAGGAGGAGAAAGGGTATTTGAAGGAAAATGTGTTCCATTGTTTAACAGCAATATGCCAAGCTACAACTGGGGGAAATTTTTACCACCTATTCTGACCATCTCAAAATATTGACAGTTGATTTGGGGAGGGAGAGAAGAGCAGCACTTAAATAAGTTGCTCTGCACAAAACAACAGTCTTCATAAAACTCAGTCACATTCCTTGCACTTGCCACGCTTATACAGTATTAGCAAGAAAGGATGCTAGTCTTTGGAAAGGGGAAGAGACATTGCATTCCTTCCTTTTTATAATTTATACCAGGGTCTCAAAGACCTGCAAATAAATTGAAGGCAGAGTTGCTTTCAATATTTAAAGCATTATGAATATTCATCTTCCACTTTTGCTGTGGCTCCTTTCCACCATGAATGAGAAGGACAACTGTTCAGTGTTTTAAATGCTGTATCTAGTTAATGGTTTCTCTTCTGCTATCTGATTTGTCAAGTCTGAAAATATTACTCAGGCTCCTTGTTTAATTAGTATCTGTATGTAAAGCATACTGGGGGGAGAGGAGGAAAGAAGCTTTTAGAATATGATTTTGGCTTAAAAACTTCATGGAAAAAATGCAGTGTTATAGATAGATTCCTACATTGCTATTAATCCTTCAGCTTTCTGTAAGAGCACAGAACTATTCTTTGATGCTGGTGAAGCGTTTGGGAGGGGAAAAAACCCTAAACACTCTGATTAAAGAAAAACACTTTCCAATGGAACAATAGCTACCTTTGGACAGTTGCTGCTAAGTGCACATTATGAACAAATGTTCCCCTCCAAGCATACTTTATCTCCATAGATTTTTTGCATCCATGAAGAAGGAAATGTATAAAGAGACAAGCAGAACAAACTGCTTCTTCACCAATAACTTCATCCTTATTTTTATCTTGCCATTAGGATTTTGCCTTGCTTTATATTGCATTATTGTCTCTGCAGAGGAAGAAATGAAAAGGAAATCAAATTCACCCTGTAAATCCCTTAATAAGCAAATACTGCAAATAGATGCATAAGAAATGCACTGGTCATACAACTGAGACTAGAGAACAGCCACTGATTTGCAGCTCTATAGAAGAGCAGGAAGCAACGCACAGATGACACAAGTGCACACCTCCCAGTGTGTTTGGACAGTGACATCAAGTCTCTGGCCAGTAGCGTGCCAGACTGAATCCCAAGTTTCATGGAGCCACCCAGACTCTCAGCGCCACTCCAAAAGAGGACCTTTTTTTTTTTGGAATAATGGGAGAAATGGCAAGCTCCAAGATGGCAACAGGAGTCAGGCACCCATAGTGCCTCACCCACATGATTGACAGCTATTTCACATGGAGAGTTAGCGACCTGTAAATAGGTCACTCATCTGGTGACTGGTATACCACTGAGAAAGGCTAGGGTGTTACATGTTCCTCCTCCACAATATTGTACTTCAACTACAGTCTCTAATATAGTCCCTTTGGGATTAAGACTAGAACAATTATGTAAGGTGCAGTGCGCTATAAAAATAAACTGAAAAAAAAAAAAAACACACACACAACGACACACTCCACGCTCTTGAGCTACTACAAAGCAATCCAGAAAAGAGCTAGTAAATTAATGGAAAGCCAGTGCTCGCATTAGCATGTGCCAATCTGCAGAGGGAATATACATTCCGGTGCAGAATACTGCTAGAAGCATGATGTAGAGCATTTTCAGCTGAAGAACATAAGTGAACCTTCACTGACACTTGTTTACTCTTCATATTTTGCTTTTCCTTTCAAATTCAGGAGGCTGGAATGCTGGAGAGAAGCAGGCTGTGTTCTCTGACAGGTAAATGGTCCAACACCAAGGAATGTATTTGTTGGTACCTTTTAGCACTTAAAGGCCTGAAATAAGAAACAAGACAAACCCTTTAATGTAATCTGAACTACGAGTAACACTTAATGGTTTTAACTCTACAAGTTATGTTACAGAGCTGATAAAGAGGCCTCTGCTAAGGGCCTAGGGGAGCAAGAGGATGTTTCTGAGCTGAAGGCTGTCACTGGTGCAGAAAGGCACAGGTAGCAGCAGCTCAGGGCACAGAGAATGAAGCACAGATGGCAACTGTGACATGTTACCTTGGAACCATGACTGCAACTACCCACTCTTGCAGTTACAAATTCCCAGCTTCCCACAGGGAGGCTTTGGCCCCAAAGCACAGGGGGTCCCAGACCCAAAGGAGTGCATAAGTGATACAGGGCCCTTTCTCCCAGAGGAAGGCACACTGTCTGAGCAGGCTTCCTGCAACTCTCACCTGCATTTTCCTCACCAGTCAAGGGGGGGAGGGGGGACTGTCCTGTCAGTACTTCTCCTGCAAGAGGATCCAAGGCTGATAAGCAGCACTTGGCTACAAAGCTCTATGTATTTGCTGAAGCACAGAGTTATGTCATCATTTGAGGTGAGAGTTGCATCCACCTGATCCAAAAATCTGTAATAGCTTCCCCCACCTCACGAGATGCTCTGCCTTGTCAAATCTCGACCTCCTGAACACATCCTTTGCTCCTTATTTCACTTAATTCACACCACAAACAAAGGAAGGTGACTAGTTCTTAATAGTTTAGAATATAATTAAAATAGTCTCTTCCCCCACCCGCATGGTGGTGCCTTTCCATCTTCCACAGTTTATATCGGGAACTCAGCACTGCACAGCCAAGTACCTACATGCATTGCAAATTTAAAAAAAAAAAAGAATAAATTCATCAACCACTTTAACTGCCACTGATCATGAGGCAAGGGTTACAGTATAGAAAAGGGACTTTTTTCCTCACCTGATAGCCACACTTTTCTTATCACCTCAGTGCCTGAGCAGTTACTGTGGGAAAGCAAATGGGGGTGGGGGGAAGGAAAATCACAAGTTTGACTATACAGGGCTATGTGATAACAATGACCAGACAAGGCCTTGCACAATTTGATCCAAGGTGGCTGTACTTCGAGGAGGGGATTTGACAGAGGTGACCTCCAGAGATGCCTTCAAACTTCAATTACTGAAACTCTACTCTGTTTATATATTTGGAATAGGGTGCTCACACACTGCCCTGCTGTTCCCAGGTATTCCAGGGAAGTGTTACATAGCCCCAACACAGGTACAAGGAGCCCCAATTCCTGCATATAGGCAAAGTCACTCCCAGCTTCCATGAAGAGCATTTATGTGTTTGTCATGTGAGGCTGGAGCTACACAGGAAAAGAAAGGGCTATTCCTGAAATATTTGGAACCTATTCCACTGCGAGACTTGGAACTCACAGGCTCCTTCCCTCCCCAGCCCTGTCTTTCCAGTCCACTGAAGTACATGCATTTGAGGTTGAGACACCAGAATCTGTGATGTGTGCTAACCCAGATAGCTGCAAGGAGCAGAGGTTCTTTATTTTTATTTTCTGCACCAGTTAAGTTACATATTATACATTAATCAAAGGAAAGAATGGATTGAGGGAAATAGGCATAGCGATACACGCAATACTACATTAGAACAGGCTACTACCAGTCTGTCATGACGGATGTGGCTGTTTCTGAGTAAAGTTTGTTACCTCATCTACTTTTATTGATGGACTAAGCTGTCTATTAGGAGGTCTCTTATGCTCTCCATCAACCAGTGGTTAGCATATACCCTACAGCATCAGTGTTTTATATTCTTTTGAAAATATGAAACATTGCCCTGTCTAAAATAATGAATGTCCTCATGTATCCATATAAATAAAGAAGCCTGTTATATTCCTTAGCCTGCTGTGAATTTTTTCTTTTCAAAATATTTTTCCTTCCTTTGGAAAACTCTAGCCACAGTAAAAAAAATAAATAAATAAAATCTTGAAAGAAAAGCTGTTAAGAATCAAACATTTTTGCTGTCAGAGTATAAAAACAAAAGTACAAAGTGCAATATATTTAAATTAACTTTAATAAGAAGTACAAAAAGATAATGTTAAGCAATATTTTGCATGTGATTAATAAATATTCTTCAACAGCAAGCAAAGTGACACATTCAAACATAAGTCCAGTTACTTCTTTTACATTTTAGAAAAGTAACAACTTTTTCCAGTTAAAACAAGGTCACAAATTACAGAATATTTTCGTCCCCTTTAATCATTAATAGCTATGAAACCTACTAAATAAGTGAACTGTCACCCAGAAGATTGTGTGACGCTGATGTTCAAGATTAAGTATACATTTATCATGCAGTTTCTTACTGTGCATGTGCATATTTGATTGGTGCTTAATTTTCTTTAAATCTATTGGTTCAACTCTTTTTATTCCCTTATTTCTTGTAAATATGCTGTAAGCACCTATTTTCAAACTCCCATATATCTTCTCACCTGAGCGACCCACTAAAGTAAGTTTATCAAATGCATAAATGCTTTCTGACTCCAGTCCAGCTAAAAAATTGCTAACAACAATATCTGAATCAGACTCCATATGTTATTTTTACCATTTTTTTTAAATTAAGTGTAACAAAGTTTAGTGTAATCACTTCCATTTAATATTAAAGTGCCTTCCAATATTTCCTAATAAAGTGACTATTTTGGAGGGGAGAGGGTGAAGGGGGATGCTTAGGAATCCGTTATTCAACAGTTCATACATGTGGTGCATATTGTACATATGTATTCTAATAGAGTACTACATTGCATTCCGTGCTAACGCTAAGCTATAGTAGCCTATAAACTGATAAACTCAGCCAAAATGAACATCTAAAAGAATTATCAAAAGCTGTTGACCAAAGCAATACCCTGTTCCACTCTCTATTGCATCCATCCTCAATAGCATAGATAGATGGATGAAGTACTGAAAAACAAATGTAACACTTCAACTTGTCACAGCTCACCTCTTCAAACATCAGTCAAATGAAACCATTCAGTGCAATCATTAACCACCTTGAATGCATGAACACGCACTCTAGGCCACTTGATCAAGTGAAGAATTCACAATAAGGAGTTTTGAAAGCAAAGTTTAACTGCTAAATCATCAGCAATAAAAAAAGTATACATATGTATTTATGTAGACACTAACACTAGAGGAAGAGTATACATCATCTTGCATATTTTAAGACATCCTCCAAATTCCTTTTGGCAAGTGTTACACCTACTCCTAACCCACAGCACTTTCACAATATTCCTGAAATGTATCTCAGTGTAGTACTAGGAATAAGAGAAACATCAAGTCCCATACTTCAGTATAGCTTGTTCTTCCTTTAAAGACTTATTTACATGGGTTAAAGAAGCAGACGTCGCTATCCAAAGGAGGGCCAAGAGGTACTTCCCCTCTGGAAAAGCGCGTACTGGCTTCAGTGATGTAGAATATCCTTAGGATCTTAATCAGCTTTCCTTTAAATCCAGTGCAAATTTGGCCCTTATCTTGGTGTAAGCTTAGCCTCTTCCAGTTAGTCCTAATCACAGACTTCAAAAACAATACAAGGATTCACCCAGAGAGCTTTGAATCCAGCATCAAGGTCTAGTCTTGTATAAAAAGGGTGGCTGGGGGAGTATGGGAATATTAATGAATGAAAGCAAAACAAAAACTTTTCATGTGCCTAACATCTGCCATTCATTAACGCAAACTTCTATTATTGTATGTCTAAAGTGATGAAGCTACTCACCGATCCTCACAAGGCTAGAGTTAAAATTCAGATTCAAAATGGCAGAATAAACCCAAACTCTTTAATAGCCAGAAACTTTATCTACAAAAATGAAAGGGACTTTCCTTAGCTAGGAAAAAGAATTTAAGAAAATGATTACCTTTTCTTAGAGGCCTGCTTAAAAATTTTACTGCAAATTGGTAGCATTCCAAAAGAAAATAAAATGTCTTCAGGAAGGAGTGGAGGGAATCCCAAAACTCACCTTTCTAAAGAACTACTCCCTTTATCGGAAGTTGAAATATGATATGACTTTCATCTAATTTCACATATTTATTTTAACTTTTTGAAAAGCTTTTAAGGAAAAAAAAACTTTATATATAGACATCAAATCATACCATACTCTCAGACTCTATTTAGATTTGTTTAGACACTTGTATGTTTATCCTGCCCATTTTTTAATGAAGTTATTTAACTTGTTTGGCTCTCTGGTAACACTAGTTTAAAGGTTTTTTCATATTCTGCTTTAAAACTCACTCCATTTCTTATCTGAATTTTAGCATTGTGTCTACACCTAATGGGACATAGACCAATCATAGCTATATCAGACTTCTTTTTCACCCAAGTCTGTTAGGAATAAAAAAGTTAAACAGCATAGATTTATTTTGCAGAAGTCTCAGGTAAAACTTAAGTACCACTAAGCTTTCAGACCTGGGAGTGAGAGATACAAAGCATGAATGCTGACATTCTGTGCATAGGTGAAAGTCTCACCTTAAAGAAGGGAAACACTGGAATTAACAAAATCCTACTTTATTCCTGAAGCTCCCCCTCAGGAAGCACACAACATTGCATGGTTTTCATAAAGCAGTCACCACATCCCTCTTAGTTTCACTCACAAATCAGGTCCCTCAAGTTTAGCAGAATTACACAGGAGGTATTTAAATTTCTCGGGCTCTAAAAGCTACCTTCCCACAACTCATACATGGTAATGAAGGCTCAGAACTGAACCTCACACAAAAACAAACATTACCTCCTTCAAAGCTTCTTTATCACAACTCACTGATACAGTAATACAACCATTTCCTCCCCCTTTTACCCTTCCCCAGCTGCTTCTGGTTTACTTTTCACTTTAAGGTCACATCACTTTAAAAAAAAAAAAAAAAAAAAAAACCCTCATCACTCCATGTTACCCATAATCACTGAGGTGAGAAGGTGATTCAGAACACCTCTGTGAGGCTCATGCTTGAATTGGTCTCCAGAATAGCCTCTTTCAAGCTCTCTCTCCAGTGACTAAACAAGCAGACTAGTTCCTAAACTTAGCATAACGTTCAGTGATATGAGTAGTCTCTCAGGTCAAGCATCTATTTCACAGCATCCACCTGTCCCCATGTTCTTACTGTCTCTCCTTAGTCCTCTAACTCTGCTCCTCTTCTTCTGTTCTCTCATAGGTTGCTGCTCTATTTTCTGTATACTTCCAACCTAATTCCTTAAACTGGTTAGTTCTTGTCTGATCAGTATTACTCAGAGCCCAACCATTTCCAGGAGAGCAGAAAATTACCATTTTGAATAAGCATTAAAATCGGGCAAGGTTAGTTTCATTATCTATGTCATGAAGAATTTTGGAAGTCACTGTTCTAAAACCAATCTGTTAAGAAGACTCCAACAGTGAACAGTAACCTGGTTGAACCTAGCTGATCTCTATACTCTTTATGCTGACTTATAAATTACTATTGAATTACTGATCACACGCATGCAGATTGCATACTACCATACTACTTTGGAAACCTACTTCAAAAGCACTGTTTGGAATCACAATAATTCTAGTCCAAGTTTACCACAGTGTTATATCACAGTACTGTATTTGTTTCCTAAGTCGTGTAAGATATGATCTGACACCCTGACCCAGAATAACGAGAAAAATAAATACGTTTGGCAAGTCAACCAAAATTTCACAGGTAGATTCCACATGCAAGTCTTTGATTCTGAAGTGGCTTGCACTTGCTCGCTTGTGCCCTCCCTCTCCACGTAAAATTTTAAGTATTTAAGATCAACAAGTCTTACTCAAGTTAAAAGAAACTTCTAGGAGTTCAGCACATAAATTTATGAGACCAGCTTTAAAATCCCATCCACAGATACTATACTGCTAAATGGGAAAAAGGCTTAACCCTGGCATTTCAGAATTCCTTGCCCAATGCTTGTGTTCACTCTGAATGTTGATACATTCCAGTTTATTTATCCCGCTGTCTTGCAAATTTGCCAGATTTATGTGTAGTTTTTTTCCTCGTCATAAATGTTTCCGTAGTCAAACAATAAAGACGCTCTACTCCTGCAGAAGGAGTCTGCTTTAAATACAGACCAGCTGAACTAAATGTAAAGGTGAAACTCTTCTAAAACATATGCACTCAAAAATCTTGCTGATGCCCACAAGGACTGCATGTGGCTATTGAAAATATATTAATTTATACTGATTGAATTTATATGGTATGTCTATTTTTCTATATTGTGTGTTAAATGCATCTTTAGCATGTGATAAACATCAGTTATTTTGCCTGACTGAGTCTAAGCATAACATAAGCCTTGAGAAATTTGTCAGTGAATGAAAAAAATAACTGCACCCAACAAAAGTACTAGCAGCGAGGCTGACTAGTGTGAGACAGTGTTAGGCTTCTTATGCTAACTGAAGATGCGCTATTTGCATGCAGCTGTAAATTACACAGATGTTATCTTTCAGACAAAAGAACAGGACTTGTTGCAGAAGAAGGGAGACTTGTACTGTTAGAAACCTTTTGAGGGGTCCCCGTTTTTGCATAAGGATGCAAAATCTTCCTTGTTAGGTAATCCAACACTCTCCTAAGCACGCTCCTGTCTCTAGTGGGGAGCGTTCTGACAATACGGTTTCATGCACAGAGTAACACACAACATTGCTTAAACACTGTGAGGTGTTCAGAGTATCTGGAATGTGGCCAAGGGTGAAACGCAAACCTCTGCCTTTCAAACCCCAGTCCAGTGAGGTTCGGAGAGTCCTTACATCTTGCTCATGTGAACCGAAGGTAAGAACTCCCACTAGGTCACAGGAAGGAGACCTAAGCTACAAAAAACAGAATCAAGCTACTCAGGTCCAAGAACTGCTAAGCATGGGCTTCCATTAAACTATACAGTCAGAGCCCTTTGCCAAAAACAGATTTAAAAGTGAAGGGATTTTTCTACAGTTCTAATATTTACAATTATTTGCACTTATGTACATATTTATATATTTATTCATACCTGGACTGTGTGACATTGAAGGGATCATTCATAATTTACAAATAAAACATTTTAAAAATGTATAATTATACCATGAAAACCTTTTTTTATTGCTTGCCTTCCAACCTTATGCACTTAATCACACTATTGCACACATCTCCCTATTACATGGAAGATCTACATTTATATATAAATATATATGAAAATAAGATATTTTTATTTTAATGTTCTGAATAAAGTGCTCATTTTTTAACTCCTGTTGATGAGAGAGGTTTAATGTGATGGTTTACTTAGAGGGAATTCAAGGGATACACACCTTGCCAAGGTGTCTTTCATTTGTCAGTTACGTAATATCTTTATTTTACTGATGTCAAGTCTGCCTTAACTATTAATTCTATTCATAAAATGCATTTGTGACCTTGGCATCTATACTGTCACATAAAGTACAAAACATAACCACATTAAAAGCAAAGAAAATACAAGAAAATAAAACAGCAAATAAAAGCAATGTTTCTCTTTGTTGTGTTTTAGCACATTTCCATGTCTTAAGATACTCTTTTATTTGATTTTAGAAATATTTGTACAACTTTTTTAAACTCTGAACATATCTATTTTATGCACTATACTCAAGTACTGTACAAAACTGCAATAAATGACACTATACGACTACATATGTCTCTACTAGAAGACATCATATTAAAGGTGCATCTTTTTTTAAAGGTCAACTAATAACTGCTAATGTATGAGTGAATCAAAATATTTTTGATTGGCCAAGTATACTAAAATCTAGATACAGTACACAATTATTATTTATGTCATGATTTACCAGGCCTTTAGGGGCATAAAGAATATTTGCAAAGGCTCAGATGAAAAATAATTTTACTGATCAGTATTAAATGTTCATATAAAATTGCAAATGGCAGTTCCAATTTTGTTGTTTTTGTGTATATGAAATACTTGATACCTACTGATGATGCATTAACTTTTATTAAAAAAATAACATTCAAATCTTAGCAAAATCATTTCTAGTATACAAAGTTGTTGTAAAGTTATGTCAGCGAAATGTAAAGTTGCAATTTACAAAAGCAGCAATAAATTTTATTCATATGGACAACTTCCTGAACTGAAATCATGAATTCTTGTTTCTTTTGAAAACAATGCTTTCTAGGACAATTATAGGCAAGCCTTTTAATGGCAGGTGTTAGGATAACATTAAGCAAGGAAAAAGAACGCATTATATTAGTGATATACTTAACCCTGAAAAATTTCTGAGTGTCTTTATGAACCTGACAATAATCTAATTGAGAAAAAAAATCAAAAAGCAGAACATTTCAATTTTGCTGAACCAGATAACCTGGCTCAGCAATACCAAATAAAGCAAATAGTGAAAAGAATAAGAGAGTTTCACTATTGAAAGTTGACTTTTACTAGAAATTTGATTAACATTTGCTTTTCTCTAAAACCAATTGAAATAGTTTATTAACAACTTCAAATAGGACAGAAATAAGAAACTAGTGGCTTTTGTCATACAGTAGCCTCTAATATTTCTTGAGCCTAACTATTATCCAGAATGATTGTGAATAATAGAACTGTATGACCTCCATACTCTGTTATGTACATGGGTACTGCTATTGTACGAAACAATTACATATTTTTTAAAAAATTACTTTTTTAAATGACAGTTTCTTTCATTAAAGTAGAATTAGTTACTTTATAGAAAAATATTTTAACTTTAAATTAAAAAAATATTGTTCCTAAATAATTATGTACGATTATATTTTCATCTCATTGTATGGAGAGGATATAATTCTGTATATCTGAATCCTATTTTAACAGAACTCCCCGGGTATAACTTTTAAAGAGCTGGCTATATCTGCCATGGGTGCTATCTGTTTACAGATCCCATGAATTAACACCGTGTCCCTCCTTTGGAGATTCACAGGTAAGACATCTATATACACGCTGTACATAATGGTTCACAGATTAGCAGTTATTAGTCGTACTGTACATAGCAAACAACCTATCTCATTAGAATGATGCTTTAAGTCCTCAGTGCAATTCAGATTTTAGGTTGATGGGGCAAAGCCAAGTAAGACAGGTTCCCTATTTAAATATGTAGCCCAGTACACTAAGTTAAAAGTACCAAATAAGACTGGAAACACTATTCTAGACATTCTGTCAATTTTGCTAACACTGTTGAATGTCTTCTTTGCTTCTTGTGGCTTCGCTTCTGGTTTTGCCTTGTTGGGTTCTGCAGTTGTAGCACTCTTGGAGATGGTTGGAAGTACTGAGTCCTTGGTAATATTTGGAGCATAGTTGGCAACAGCTACTGCATAGGCATTGTTTTTCTTAATGACAGATGCTTTTTCTTTTTTCTATTGGAAGACAGCATGAAATTAAACATTTATTGCATGCTATATTTGCCAGATCAGACTTAACAACACATTATTTCAAATGGAGAAAAAAATAATGTATGTTAAAACAAATGCCAGAAATAGTATACTGATAAATTGAAATATAAAGATAGACACTTTCAGGCTACCCAAAACAAAGGTAGGGGTAACACAATAATGCTCTAAAAATGTAGACTCTTGCACTATCAAAAGTCCTATTGAAGCTAGGTGAGAAGGGTCTGTTAACTGTAATTGCTAAAATACCTGGTAAAGAGTCAATCTGACTCTAACCGCTTTGTATCTCAGTCTTCATAAAAAAATTGCAAGATCTTTAAAATGCTCCGTTAAGAGGCTAGAAGGTAGGCATGAATGGATTGCAAAAAAAGACTGCCTGGCATTATAATGAAATGAAAATCAAGCCATCTTTCCAACATAAATCTAGCACTGCTATTATTTGAATGTTCCATATGCAATATACCACCAATAAATAAAGAAATTTCTCTAAGATTCCAGATTTTTAAAGAGATTGTAGAGAAATGTGTGTGTGTCTATAAATAAATAAATATAAAAAATATGTACACATACATGCATGTATGTATGCATATATACACCTTGAAACTTAAACATGCATTAAGTAATTTATTTGTGCTAGTAATGCTTAAAATCCCACAATATCAAAAAGTAGGGGAAAGCAGAAGACTAAACTATTACTTTCCTGCACTTTCTAACTGCTGTCTTCATTATGTATCCACAAACAAAGATATTAATCTGGAGTCAGAGAGGGCAGGCAGGCAGGCAGGCAGGCAGGCAGGCAGATTGCCTTGCTTGCTGCCAAAACACAGCTCTTTGGATAAGACGTGGACTAACAGAACAGCACTGCTTAACCAGTGTGGACTGCTCGTTCTTATACTCCCTCCAGGATGAGCCAAAACAATATAGCTAAAAAGTTCAATTCCTACTTTGCTCCCTCCCATCCTGGCTTATTTCTTCATTTTCTGAATTGGGGCACCTAATTGTGAAAATGCCACCATCTTTTCGGTTTGACGTTTTTCATGCATGCTAACCCAGTAAGTCTTTATTAGCTTTCAAACAGTGAAGGGAAATGTTTAAATAAAAACAGAAAGTTTTTTCTTTGGTATTTAAAACAATAATAATACAAAACTAGTAAATTTTGTAAAAACTCACACAATTTTTTGGTTTAATGTTCCTTTGACTAGACACCAAGTAAACAAAACCCTTGATTGTGATAAACTTTTTTTTTTAAGCTGTCAATCTGAAATATGAGCAAGAGGGCAAACGTAGATAGATAAACAGATGTGCAGATACACATGTACACCTAGGCATTTTCCAGATACGGATCTGGTAGTGTTAAACCCACCACTCTCAGAAGTATGGACAGAGATTTGGAAAGATCTGAAAAATACACGTAGTTGGCCTAAACAAGAACGACGACAAAGTGAAAGACCCAAGATCTATGACTGCTTCAGCCTGATGGGGTTCAAACCAGATCTCTCAGTACTGCACTCTAACTTCAGAAGTAGAAGCTGTTCTTAGATGGAAAAAAGGAGATATTGGAGGAGAAGGGAAAGGTGAAGGACTTCTCACCTTCTTACTGAAATTGGTAAACAACCCAAAAAACATAGGATTATATATTTCATATATAAAGATTTTAATATAAATTTTATATGTAAAACAAACAGCTATAGATTTTATATATAAAATCTTACATATTTAATGCTAAGACATTTAAGACATTTCTCAGACATCTGATCTAAGCGATTTAATTTCTGAGATTGGAAGGAGATCACAATCAAGAAAGAGGATGATTCCAGCTTGGTAGCTGCAGCAGTGAGCTGGGAATTAGCCCCAGAATCACTGGAGTTTTTTTCAGAAATTATTTTTTAATAAAAATGCATAACGGTGACGGAAATGGAGATTAGAACCTAAACATAACAGGGATGGGATGGGCTGGCAGGAATCTCATGAAGCTTAAAAAAGGGAAATGCAAAGTCCTGCATTTGGGGAAGAATAACTCCCTGCACCAGTGCAGGCTGGGGGCTAACAGCCTGGAAAGCAGCTTTGTAGCAAAGGTCCTGGGAGTCCTGGTGGACAAGTTGACTATGAGCCAGCAATGCCCCTTGGCAGCAAAGAAGGCCAATAGTACCCTGGGCTGCATTACGAAGAGCATTGCCAGCAGGGCAGGGGAGGCGATTCTTCCCCTTACTCAGCACTGGTGAGGCCACACCCGGAGTGCTGGGTCCACTTCTGGGCTCCCCAGTACAAGAGAGACACGGACATACAGGAGCAAGTCAGTGAAGGATCAGGAAGATGACTGAGGGACTGCAGCATCTGATATACGAGGGGAGGCTGAGAGGGCCGGGACTATTTAGCCTGCAGAAGAGAAGTTTCAGAGGGGATCTTATCAATGTGTATAAATACCTGATGGAGGTCAGTAAAGAGGACAGAACAAGACTGTCCTCTGGTATCCACTGAAAAGACAAGAAGCAATGGGCACAAATTGAAATACAGAATATTCCACTTAAACATAAGAAAAAACTTTTTTACTGTGAGGGTGGCCAGACATTGGAACAGGTTGCCCAGACAGTTTGTGGAGTCTCCATTCTTGGAAATATTCAAAACCTGACTGGACACAGCCCTGATCAACCTGCTCTAGCTGACCTGGCTTGGAATATGGGGGATTGGACTAGACAATCTCCAGAGGTCCCTTCCAATCTCAACGATTCTGCAATTCTATAGGATTGTGTATGCTTTCAAATGGCTAACAAGGTTCAGCCATTTGCAGTCCAATGAAGAGGGTGGGTATGTGTATAGACAGATACAGGTATGCACATAGCTCTGTGCATGTTTTTAGACAAATACATAGATACACACACTAGCTCTGCAATGAGACTAACGTTATAAACTGATCAGTGTTCTGCAGCAATCCCAAATGAAGGAACTACTATTAATCTCTGGGAAAGAATGGAAGGATTTCCAGTTTCTCTGGAAGTAAGGCAGCCCATACATTGGAAGCAGGCAAGTAAAGGTCAGATTCAATGCAGCTCTTCCACAAGTTACAAGACAAAACAGAAGAAGAAATGGTTAACTTCTGGCTCACATAATAAACCAACAACTGTTGTATTGTTTTGGTTTGGTTTTTAATGGAAAGTGACCCAAGTGAGGAAATTCCTGTGACATTTCCCATACAGACGCATTAGAATTTTTTACTTCCACTGGGAGGCATCTACCCATTTTCCAATACTTGTTCTAAACTAGTTGCAATTTGTTATATATCAGTGTCATTTACAAATCTTGCTAAGATCCTTGCAGTCAAGGGTTCTCCCCCAAATGGCTTCTTCGCAGTGGTGTCACATACATAAAAAGAAAATCTGGGAACAGACAGGAAGGGTGGGTATTCAGCACTGCTCATTAATGACTGGAGTGTGAAAGAGAGCCAAACAGAAATGTAGCTAATCCCTGCACCTGCTTTTCTGTGAGACAATTGCTGTGCTAACAGAACTTAGATGGAATTTCCAGTATAACATGAACACCGATGACTGTCATTGAGCAAACATATTTCACTTTATTTGGCAAAGAATAACCCTAGTATCAGATGCATGGATGCATTTGGCAAAAATAAGAAAAAAATTATCAAATCAAATCTGGAGAGGAACATCCTAGTTAATTTGTAATTCCTTCCTTTCAGATAGTGTAGTTTTAAAAAGTATCTATAATCTCATTAATGAGACTTGCATAATAAAGATGAACTAAACATGATAAGAGAAAATATCAATATGTTAAAAATTTAGCTTTTGTTGTTAGTCAATTTGAAAAAAACAGAGAAATAGACATTTCAATGGTATATAAATCCTAAAATGGAAAAACTAATTTTGTTCCCAAAGTCGTTCTTAATTTTTAAGTACTTGAATAATGTCTTTTTTTGGTTAATCATGTGTATTTTATAGGCTTTCAGAGGTTCTGCTAATATTTTCAATAGACATTAAATAATCAGCATGGATGGTTCAAGAGTAGTAGAGAAATACTAACACTAAAAGAAAAGGGCAGTGTGATATCTCTCTGAGGACAGAACTAGATCTCCTAACAAGATGCATCAGACTTCCAAGGGATAAAAAGCAGACTACATCATCTACTTCATTATCCAAAAAAAAAAAGGAATTTCAAAAGAAATACAATCCAAATCAGATACGTTGTTGATACTGGGGCACTTGAATTTTGCTTGTACAGTCTCTTCCCTATGGAAAGAATACTATCTAGCCATTAAACTGCTGCCACTTCCAAGATCATGCAACAACAGTGTTGCGTTAATTTAAAGGGACAGCCAAAGGATGATCAGAGAGCTCATAAGGGCTTCCTATATTATTACAAGGCAGTGGCAATACCACAGTCAGAAAAGCTTCTTGACATGCTGATAATCTTGTAGTAAGTGATTCAGGATCTATTTCTAGAGTGAGTGGATGGATCTTGAAGCTGTGGATAGTTTGTGCCCTTCTAGAAGCTACAGAGAATTACAAATGATGTACTCATTTTCTCTCATTTCCCTTTACCATTAACTGAACATTTTGCCTTTTATGTATTGTGCTTTATGCATTTAAAGTCCTGAGAAACCATTGGTTAAATAAACTTTGCTTCACATCTACCATTATCATTCAGGAAGCAAATAATATCTTATTTTAGGGGCAACCACACAAAATGGAGTTTTCTTTGTCAGCAGAATTCCTTTTCCATTAGCAGAATGAGAGACTAGGACAGGATAAAATTACATAATATAGTAAGTCAGTTAAGACAACAAGTCAGCTTTAGCGTTTGTTCTGTGTTATTAACATGATGAGCTATAAAGCTTGACACAATCCAGGAGTATCACCAGTTCATTTTGTTTATCGAGAAAGTAAGAAATTCTGTGAGGAATTTCAAATCTTCTGGATGTCATTATTAATAGTTTTTAAATGGAGTACATGCATCCAGTTTTTTGATCCTTGGTTATCAAAAAAATTAATATATATTCTGTCTTTCTGTACTCTCTTTGCTATTTCCAAATCAAAAGAATTAAACAGTAATAACACTGTTTAACACTGAGTAATAAAGTGGTCAACCAATATGACCTAGATTAAACTTTCTGAATAACTAGATAAACAGAAATGAATTACATCTGCTGAGGTCAAGAAACAAGACAGACAGTTCCCAATACAAAAAACAGGTACTTGATAAAACAAGTCTGGATTACTGAGACCAAATGAGACAAGCTGTCATCAGGGAAGGTATGCTTTTGCTTATGTCAGAAAATATATGGGCTAAGTCTTAAAATTTTCAATAAGACAGAACTTCCTGTTGCCTTCAACAGGAGTCTTGCCCACTAATACGTACAGAATTTTCAGGTTTAATGCTGTATAAATTTAGAGTCCAAACAAGCAAAAAATTGGTACACATATTTCTTAAATAAAACTCACTAACCGTTACTGCAATTTTTGCTGTAGGTTCAGCACCTTGCAGGAAAGTGCTTTTATGGTAAGACAATTCTGAGTTTTAACCTCATGTCTTTGATGCAGCAGTTAACCTCTCATTTCACTTCTCACAGATATACTTTGTTGATAATAATAATCAAATGTTTGGTCAAGTCAGCTTCTTTGTAAGGCACGACAAGAAAGCGTTCCTCTCAAAGTCAGTCTGAATCTCTCAGCTGGCCTTAAATTGTTGAGGGTTAAAGGATCAATTAAAGGTACAGTTCAGTATGACAGAAGTTTAAGGACATAAGACTACTTTTCCAATAGTGACTACACAAAGCAGGCTGCTGTAAGAGCAACAGCATAACTTATTCTTGTTTTGTAGGTTACTGGTAGCGGGGCTATCCACAGTTTGATTTTTGTGAATGCTGCTTCAGTATCAGTGCTTGAAAGTTGTCTCAAGTTACAAAAGGAGAATTTCAGATTAATCTTTGCAACCAACACAAAAAGATCACAATTGATCTTGCAGATGAAATGCAATTTTAGGCCCCTGTCTTGCCAAATACATGTCCTAGAATAACATTCTTCACTATTGTGTTTTATTATCTCATTATCTCTAAAATGAGAATACATTGCTGCTCAGTAACACACTGCTGCTTCATGGGGGTACACGTGAAATCCTGAAGAACGCCTAACTGCTTAGTTTTAAAACACCTGTAAAAGCGAGGATATTAGTCACATTTAACGTGGATTAGAGTAACATCTTTGCTTTTTCTGCAAAATAAAGTTACGCTCTCTTAACTCTCTTCCTGCCAAAACAGAGAATTCAGAAAATGCTGGAACTCAGAACAGAGCAGAAAAGTTCTTGGTACAATGCAGGCAAACTTGCCTCAGGCTTAAACCTCAAATGCACAAACCTCAACACAGAGGCTTATTGAGATATGGTCATATCTGAGGAAAAGGTGTGTAAAGCATACCATGGTCAGCGCTTACAATAAATACATAAAATTAAATAAATAAAAGCAATGAATATAGAGCTGAGATTTTTATGATTTCATTTATTCTTGCAAGATGCATTTATGATTTGTACTTGAGAGAAACTCAGAGGTAGAGCAGCGACACAGACCAGTCACTTAAAGAAATTCATTTTACCTTTGTATCTCATGCAGCTAGATGTTTAGGACCCTGCGACACAGCATGGTAACATGCTACAACATCATAATCTTGCCATGCTGTCAGGCTTTCTTGCTACCTACTATGAACATTTTCCACCTTTCTGAGAAACTTTATCAAAAAGCTATCATCACAAGACTAAGCTCCTTATTAGATGATAATGGGATGGAAAAGAATAAATTAAACACAGCTGAAAAATGAAGGCACCTCTTTTTGAGAAATAGTGTTATTCAAGAGTTTGTGTGAGTTCAAATTTTTCTCAGGTTTCTGGCAGCTAACTCATGTACCCATATGCAAATTGCACCACATTTTGTGAAATTCCAGAAAATAGAGAGTTTACAAATTAGTATACAACTTGCTCTCACAGATTAGATAATATAGATTAAAAAAGAAAATATTTGCCTGATAATGTTGAAATCTAAATGATGCATAAATCCCACATAAAGCTTTTTTCATATAACCAATACTCTGACCCTACTCACTTCAAACAAAAGGATTAGTGAATGGTCTTAGGGTTTGGGCAGTTACTTCTGGTGGGGGACTTCTGAAAAGATATAAATGATTTTTGTTTCAGTGTGGTTCAAGTTTCAAGGTAATATTAGTAACAGTTGGATGAAGAAAGGTATTTCCTTCCAGAATTTCTAAATGGTATTCTCAGTCCTACTCTAACCTCCTTACCAGCTAGTACCTTTTCTTTTGATTTAAAGCATCACACATTTTCAGTAACAGCCACTTTATCAAAACAATCTATTACAGTGGTTTTATTATAATAAAGTGGCTATTTCCTTAGGACTTACCTTATCATTCACTACACTTTTTCCATCCCAGGCCCATCCTCGTTTTGTGAAGTAATTTACAGTTGCAAATTCAATTAATGCGGAGAACACAAATGCATAACAAACAGCAATAAACCAATCCATAGCTGTTGCATATGCTACTTTGGGGAGTGAATTTCGAGCACTAATGCTCAGTGTTGTCATTGTCAACACTGTTGTTACTCCTGTAAGGGGAAGAAAAAAACAAAACCTCAATAATTTCACTTGGATATTGAATGTTCATAAAATACAAAACAGAAATTATTCTAGTATGTTTGTAAAATACGATAGAAAAGCTTATCTAGCTTGGTGACAAACTGCTAGCACCATATTAAGGACTGCAGCTGGAGTTTCCTCTGCAGTATTCTAATTCTATTTTACTGTCTAAACCTCCCTTTTTTAACCAGCTGAAGATATTATTTACAGGAGACAGATAAAAATTCTTTTTTTGGCTATCAGAACAAGCAAAGGACAAAATTATTAACAGCTCCTTAAGGAAATCATAATACTCTGCAGCACTACAATAATCATGAAAAATATGCTAATATCTCTTATAATGTCTTTTTTCTTGCACTATCCTGACCACATAGACATTTCACTTAAGAAAGCTTGAATACAGTTGCCTACCATATATCTTTCATGGCTGGCTTCACTACAGTGGCTACAGGTCTGACACCAATCTTCACTGAGTATCACACAACTTGTCCTCTTTTATTAGCAGTAACGATGGTTTTTGCTAGTAGCTTTTCCACTAATAACCCAGTGAAATATTTAATGATATAACCAGGTTAACTTTTCATTCAGGTAACATGGATTTTTTTCTAGTACAGCATATTGATTTGAAATGGCCAGATTATTATAACTGTATATGATGTGCCAGAAAATAATATTTAATAATCTAGGAAGATTATTCTTGTACTGTGGTAGGTTTTTAAAACACTTTATAATACTTTTGTATTTAATGAACACTCAGCAGGAGGCCATAAATTATACTCCAAAAATCAAAAAAAAAGGATACAGGGGAGAAGAGGATATTTTTCTGCCTCATTTTTAGCAAGCAGAACCCCATAGCCACAAACACAATTGCCATACCTTAGGTAAATCAGTCTTTTCCATTTCAGGCTAAATCACACAGAGACAAAAAAAAAAACGTTTCCTTTGTGGCATGCTATTAAAAACGTCTCCAGAATGAAAAGCAATGCAAAGTGATATACTTAGCACAGATCAACAAACCCACACTCCACTATGACAGCAAAGGCTGAAATACACAGCTGAAATATTACTAATAGCATGTCCCAGCTTCAACAACTACAAAGTCATAAAAGTGTTGTAACAGTTCTCGAGTTCCCAAGAGGAACTAGTCACTATCGCTGAGCCAGACGCTCTACTGTTAGCAATTTTTGACCTAGCCTTGGCAGGACAGACTTAGCTCTTTTTTTTTCTTTTACAAGAGAAGAATTTTTAACCACCGTCTGAAAGGGAAGAAAAGTAGCAATTAGGTCTACTCAGTCCCCTTCCGGCTTTGCAATTTCCACCCTTTCTCAGTTCGTAAAGAATCTCCATCTCTGAGGGTGCTAGAAAGGATGACAGAGCAAAGCTAAACGCACCCAGTCTCAGAAATACTCTTCCTTGAAATGCTTCCTAAGGCCTGCGCAGCAGGGAAAACAAGGCACAGAAACACCTGCTGGCTGCATATAGTATCCAGACCCCTTAGCAAACATAATTCCCTCATTACTATTTTTTAGCCTCCACATATTAAAGTAGTTGCCCTAAGTCTAGAATCAGCTGTGCCACAGTTATGATTCACTAAGCCATACAATGAAAAGGAAGCAGCTATCATACTATGTGGTATGAAAATGCATGGACTATGTATTTTGTAAAGAACTTATTCCCTCCTGACACACAACATAGGGCTTAATTATTTTCATCATCTCCAGGAAAAAGGCACACCTATCTTACATTTAAAACTATCACATGAAAATTTTAACACAGGTCCTGAGCTGCAGATAGCTCACTTTAATTATTCAAACGTATCAGTAAAGTGATATCAGTAAAGGTGACCTTATTCCTATGCAAATATACACAGTTGCTAAGCTACTGTTCGGTTTAAGTCCTACCTTTCAGAATAAACTAATCTTCTTGAAGCCCCAATGGCTTATTCAGACACCTAACTTAAGATTAACTGCTGACCTCTTCTAATCTCTATTAAAACATCACAAATTTATATCTTATATTTTCCCAGCAGTTGACACAGTTTGTCAACTTCTCTAAAACGTTCAGCAAGCCACTTTGTGTCCCAAACGCTAACCAAACAGCAGATTGCCAGACAGTTGCCAATGGAAGACTCTACACTTTCATTTACTTCTTCATTCTGTATATCCAGTGACTGCCAGCAATGGCATCCACTTAACCCGAACTGAGCGAAGAAATTGGACAGGAAATTTAGGCTATTACACTTGTAAGATTAGGAATCTCTAGTATTTTTATACTTGCTGTTCTTAAGTCAAAAGACAGATGTTTTTGAATGTAACAGTTTTTTTAAATCAGTATGATCAAATCTTCTGTAGCAAAAAGTACTGAATGGAAATAACCTGCCTCTTTATAACTGTTGAACGTGAGAAGACTGAAAAATTATTAATGTAGAGGAATAAGTTTAACTTGTAAAAAAAAAAAAACATTTATTTCACAAAGATTATATAAAGATTGTATGATGTCTCCCTTTAAGAAAGGCTACAGTTTACGTACAGGTGAAGAACTATTACAACTTTACTCAACATCCAGCAAATGTGGCATTGTACAGGTGCTAGCAGAACAAATACCATCTTGCAAGAGGCTACAAGCAGTCATGAGTTTAACTTTAATTTGAACACCGTGAACCACTGCTTTTGGCACAGAGGGGGAAAAAAGCATGAGGGAAAGGAATGTGACCTTGCAGCCTCTACCACTGGCACTTGCCTGAGTATTACATATGTTCCTCATGACAGGATGTGTTTCCAGCCATACCATTCCTCCCTGCTCCGCTATATTGATCAAGCTGGGCCCATCTCCGATAAATGTCTGAACTCTCTTTTCTTTTCTGAATACAAGATAGGGATTGAATGTGTTCCAGAAATCCCTTCCAATTTAATATTACAATGCCATACCCCCCATTTTGTTTGTTTTGGATTTGACAGAGGGGTGCAACTGCTACCATATGTATTACCAATGAATAAAAAAAGTCACTTTCTTTGGACAGCATTTCCCTTCTCTGAAAAAAAACAACAACTTTCTACTTGCCAATAAATATGCCCCAACCTTACTACAACTGGTGTTCTCAGCAACGTATGCATCTAAAAGCTGAATATCTTCTACCACTGCAGGTTTATCCCATTTCAAGCTACGACTGGAGCTATTTGATTGCCTAGGATTTATTTTTATAGTGCTGCTTTTGAAACTGCATCTGTTCACTGGAGAGAAGATACCCATCTCCAGGGCCAACACCTTTCATTGGCATTAAACTTACAAATGTAAAATATACTGGCTCTATCATATTCTGGATTCCAGAACAGATGGATGCCATTCAAGATGTGCCTAAAAGAGACAGTCATCTTTGGGCAAATAATGTCTGTTGCTTAACAGTATGGGGCACTCAAAAACTAAGGACTAAAAACTAAGAATATCTAGCTAAATATATACAACAGAAATTGGAAGAGCTAGCACATAAATATTAAAGTTGAAATCTGTCATGGCAGCTAGGTTTACGTCCATGTTTGTATGCCAAAGTCGGGCTATTCCTTGATAGGGATAAGTTCTTCTGGATTCTAAATTTACCTCCTGTGTGCTAACTATTTTTTCTAATTTGAACAGATTTTAGTCAACTAAATCACATCCTAACCTTCTTGTCTTAGAATATGGACATCTCTTTTGAAAATAACAGCAATAGGCCCAAAAAACAAAATACTAAAGGACAATTCTGTAACAAAAGATGTACTTCAGCTTTGCAAACAGTTTGAAAAATGTCCTCAAAGTATGTTCCAATTCTAATTATCTGTCACGTTAGTCCTCCCACAATTTTATTTTTTTATCCTAACACTTTGAAAAGATATACATAATGATTGAAGAACATATCACTAAAGAATCGATAAACGCCATTTTTTAAAATTAAGAGGATATTTCCATTGTTCTATTATTCCAATCTTCTTTTTTTTTTTTCTTAAAAAGTAATTGCAAATGTTGGTAGGTAATTAGATCACTCAATCCAAATACTAAATAGGTTTATACATGCAAACAATATAGCCGAAAGAAAAGACTATTGTCCCTTTTACAGAAACACAGATTACTACTTAATCTTAGCATCCCAAGAGTAAATGGCTGGAGGTCTAAATATAAGCGCAAACTCTGTGGGTAGTGTTATTTTAAATATTACGCCATAACTTTTGGCTATATGTCATACTAGTATTTTTTTTCTATTTAGCCACTAAATATGTATTACTTCAGAATACAATAAAAAGCAGCATATGTTGATTCTGCGTAGACATAGGCAAATAAGTCTAAATGACATAGAGGCAAAGGTTTCAGAAAATAGCTGAAGTTTTCTGTCTTCCCTTCCTGCTAATGGGATGACCCAAAAGGCCAGAAGCTTTTTGAAACAGCATGGAAGACAGGGGACCATAATACTATCTATCTATTTGCAGAAAATTTGAACTCAGTTAGTCAATTATACCAGGTTACATTACCACAGTACGTTACATGTAAGTGAAGCTAGTACCCATGTTGTTCCACTGTATCAATACCAAGCAATGGAATAATTCCCCAACAATGTATGACCAAGCTAATACTCAAAGCTGAATGGCAAGTGATATTTACCCTGGATCCAGTACCACATTCATGTGATCATGCTGTTTTGGAAAATGAGCTAGTATCTTGGCACACCACTGAGCTGGGAAGATATATTAGTTTGCTTGCAACCAGCTCTGAGTCTCCTACCAACTTTGTAGTCTGCCAGGTATGCATGCTCACCGTGCATCACTAGTTAAACAGTATTATGTCTGCAGTCAACAGAAATTCCCAAATCAGAAATTATAGACTGAAAGTTGTAAGTGGTGGGATGTTTCTAAAGACACAGAAGACAACCTGCAGCCTGTGGAAGGAGAAGTAATAAAAATCGTTGGGATTTTTTCAACGAAATTGGAAAAAGATACTTTGTGTAAACAGAACTGTTCATAAGGAAGGGTCCACCCCATTCAATTTTCCATGTACAAATAACTATAGAAGAAATCTGGACTTGTCTTAGGAAGGCATTTCTACATTTGCACAAAAAAAAGAAGCCTGTCTATTTCAGGTCTAAGGTTTTTTTGTTTTGAACTGTACATTAATTAATATAGCTTCAGAAAAGATAAATGAAGAAAAAAGAAAACATGAGGAAAGGAATACAGCACAAAAGTAAAATGATCACAGACAACAGAGTTCTGACAAAAGAACAAAACAACATGAACTTAAAATTCTTTATCTTGGACAATGTACTAAAAAGTAATAGGCACTATTATTTTTGTTCTTGCCTACTTCAGAGATCAAGGAATATATATCTAACTACATAAACGTTAACTTTCTCATTCCTACCCCGTGTACATTAAAACACACAGATTACTATAGCACTGTGAATTACTAAGAAAATCAAATTCCAATTTTTCTGTCACCTGCTTCTAATAGCACTATTCAAATATATGTCATGCTTCTAAATGTTATGACACATTACAAATAAAGTGAGAATTTAATAAACTATAGATTAGTTTTGCTAATATTGTTGACAATAAATGTATAACAATAAACACATTACTGAATGAAATAGATTGTAATCTTGCACTAAACAAAGGCACTATGAAGCAGGCTTACTCCCTTTTACTTAAAAATGAAGTCAAATACTTTTCAAATGTATCTGTTATGGAAAACACATTCAAGACTTATTTAATTAACACTGGTAAAACTTTCTTCTTCCAATAATTTAAAGCAAAGTGGAAGTAATATAACATTAGACCATAATTCATTTGGGATAGCTTAGGTCAACAATATTAAATAGATGCCATAAATTAAAGGGATTAAAGAGCTCAACTATAAAAGAAGCTTCATTATACCAAGTCCTTAATGTTAACCTACACACATGAAAGTACATTTTGTGAGGACAGAAAAGAGAAAGAAAATTCCTCTCAAACGTGAAATACTAAATGGTAAGTGCTGGCTTTGAATAACTTAAAGTTATGTTTCTTCGAAAGGAACAGTACTTGAACATTTAGACCTTCCCAAAACTCAGTAGCTTTCAAAAAGATACTTCAAATAAGTTTCTCACTGATTCTGAAAAACATTTTAGCAAAATCCTTACTTGTTAATTTTTAAAATTGCTATATTTATTACACAATACCAATGAAATCGATATCTAGGAAGTGGCTACCATATAAAACCTGAAAATTAAGTAGCTGTATTAGGGGTTTCCTGTTTCACCAGGTGGAGCCTACCTGAAAGCATCACCCAACCAATGCGACCTTGGCTTCATCTGTCCAGCTCTAGCTGGGCAGATTAATTCAGCATGTGTCAGGAAAAAAAAAAAAAGCAATAGAGGAACTTTGTTATGAAATTGTCGCTAATTTGTAACACATTTAGCCAGGAAACTGGATAGTAACAGGAACCTCAGTGACAACTGCTAATTGCCTGTGGATATAGAGAAAGTCAAGAAGACTGGTCTGGGGCTACATAATTAGAGAGGCCATTGGTGGCTTATGCTGTCAATCTCATCTAGGGTGTAGTAAATAGTTCAGAAAAATCTCTCCTCAGGGGACATCTGATCCTGTGCAGAAGGCTAAGCCTTGAGGTGCAATCACTGTGTGCAGGGACCAGGCTGCCAGCCAGAACGCAGGCATATCAACCAGCCAAAGTGACTGCCCTGTTCCCCTGGGTTCATAGTGCCAGCATAAACTGACCTGGAGGGGATGGGGCCTTGATTGGCGTGAGTGTGAGGTGTGTGTGTGTGTGTGTGTGTGTGTGTGTGTGTGTGTGTGTATGTGTGCTAGATAGAAATATTAGAATATATCCACCTGCTATACCTATTTTGCTGAGTAAATAAATTTTAAATTATGTCACTGGACCATGTGATTCTGTTCTTGCAGCCACTCCACCCAGTTTGCCCAAGACATCCTGAAGCAGGCAAGATGATCACATATCACAACTATTCATTATCCATATTACGCTAGAGCCTAGGCAGGGTAAAGCAACAGGCTCCTATGCAGACTAATTCTTTCCCAACCACATAAATTAAATAAAAAATAAATGATGAAAAAGAAAAAGGTATGCAGGAAGGGACGTAACGTTCCAGGAGAATGATCTGTGCCTTGCTGCTGATGACACTAGAACGAAAAGTGTATTTTAGGAAGAGAAGATGAGAGATTATATTTTTGGACAAACTAGGTAGAGTGTTCTAAATTTTTAGGTAGGGATATAGAAAATGGAAAACACAGAGATATAGAAGGATTTGACCGGGTGCCTGCAAGGCTGGCAAACAGAATGGGGCAGGAAAGACGCATAAACACACGTATTGTGACAAGCAGAAATGGAAAAATTCACAGAGGACTTTGAAGAACGAAAAAAAAAACTATATCTTTCTGTTAACTGCCTAAGAAAACATGGTAGAGTTCTGGTCCCGCAAGAACTACTGACCCATTCCAACTGACTTCAGTAGGGCTCATATCTGAATCTGCAGCTTTCATGATACTTTGTGTGGCATTTTGTCTGACAGGAAAGACAGTGAGTGCTTTATTGTGCATCATACTTAACATGCATTTGATTAATTGCCCTCTTATTTGAAGAGTGTATGGCTGCTTACTGAGAACTAATCACATGATTTTACGTAGCATTTTTGGTGATTGATTCCATACAGACATTACTTTCTTTTCATAGTGCTACTCTCTTTTTCTTTAAAAGAGAACAAACTAAAAGAACTGTAAGTTATGCAAAGAAAGACAGATATTTTTTGCTTTGCTTTAATAAAGAAGAGAATAAGACCTTAATGTAAGGTAAACACCTTTATTTTGCACTGTTGAAGTTGTTCACTGCTTTACGGTGCACTCCAATACGAATTAGTGAGAAAGACTTGCCCAGATGCCCAGAATAGGGTCCCTACTCATGAACTGCAGTTTGCAAAGTATAAAACTTTTCAATAATTTACATCTTTAATTTGTATCTAGAGATGTGCTTAACTATTAAGTACCAAAATATTTTCATCAATGTCAATGCCACATTTCAGAAAAGAATCTAAATTCACTTTTTAAATAGAAACATTATTATATTATATTCTTTCATCCTGCAAAAACTTTTTCCTCTTAAGAAAATCAAGGATATATGGGCAGTTCTCTGATGTGCTAACTTTTTTAAAAACTTTGGGATTCTTTGGAAATCTGTAAGCTGCACACGAAAGCTGTCTGGACTAGAAATAGTATCATATTCTACAAACACACTAACTTGAATCATAAAGGGCTTTGCCAAGCCTAACAGCTTCAGCTGCTGCAAACAAAGCGAACGCTACTCAGAATACTCACCAAAGACTGTCCTCGCAGGTACAGACTCTCGGTTCAGCCAGAATGACACTTGAGAGAGAATGACGGTCATGATGCAGGGAAGGTAAGTCTGAATGACAAAATAACCAATTTTTCTCTTCAAGTGAAAATGAGCTGTCATTACTGTATATTCACCTAATGTACAACAAACAAAAGACAATGAGAAGGTTATTGTCGTAAGAAATTCCATTTTTTGGTAAAAGAAAGTTTGGTATTTTTATGTGAACAAAATGTGCTGTGGTAAAATTGCACAAAACATATTTTTTAGTAGAAAGCATCCTACAGAATACAAGCTAGATTTCAACATAGAACACAGCCACATTTTGTTCCCACTGGACTCCAGGAAAGATCAATAGTTAATCTGCACAGTACCTTGTAGGACCGATTTCTTATTATCAGGAAGTACTGTAAGCCAGGAAAAGAATTTGAGTCTTGCAGAATTCTGCATATACCACCCCTCTGTGTTCATATAAAGGCATGTTAAGACCTTGTTCTACAGTCAGAAGGCAAGCAGGGGATCCAACCAAGTCCTGCACATATAGGAAGTCTTTATCTATTAAGTACTCTATTAAACCAGGTAGAATAATCCAATGTTTAGTATTAAAAACACGAAGAAAGAAAAAAAATTGAAACCAGAACACTTTACTATTTAGTAGACAAAAACTGCTGTTTACCATGCTAAATTAAAAGAACTATCTGAGGCTTGAGTTACAAACAAAATAGTTTATTAGGATTCAAGATTAGACTCCAGATAGCGTATTAAAACAGTGACTGGGGAGTAGTTACCTCTACTATCATTTGTTACTTATTAACTTGAAAGAATCAGAAAGTGCCTATACGTGCTACTTGTACGTATACATTAATAAACTATGCCTAATAGCTCACACGTTGTAATAATTTGTTTCAGTAGCATTCCAGCACCAACAGGGATTCCTACTGTTTTCTATAGTCAAGGGATTGCCTTTTTCTTTAAATATTTTTTACTAACCTGTACTTGATTTAACTGTCTCCTTTCCGATTGTTTGGCCTAAAAGATCATACTGATTCAATCTTGAACCATCTGGTGCCACCTGCACTGAATCTGAAGCATTGTAAGTCCAAATGTACGTCACTTCTGAAGTAGTGTATGCATCTGTGGGAAACAAAACATTTTGTCAGCGATTCAGACTAAACAGCTTCCATTATTTGCAACATCAAAACTTATATGATTAGGAGAGCTATTTAATTATCTTCCCCAGAAAACCCTGAAATGATATGGTAAAAAATGCTTTTGCCATTTAAAATAGCTTTACTGTAGGCTGAGTGCCTATTGCAGCATGGGACCAGGGCACTGATTTGTGATCTTATTAACCACAATTTATTGCTACTAAATTAAATGCAACAGCTCCTCTATACTGTTGAAAGACTTGTTAGAGAGTACATATTATACGTATCCTAAAACCTACACCTATATTAAGCCAGATGAAAAGGACAATGATTTGTAATATGTAGGGCATTATTAAATTTTTGGAAATTCGTTCATTTTTTGTTCTGACCTTCCCTTGTTCCTACTCTCCCCTTTTCAGAATGTATCACAAACATTTTCTGATTAGCTGAAATTCATACCTAAAATGGGACAGCAGGTTCTGTGACAATGCCCCTAAAAACTGTAGGAGCTCTGTGCCTTGGTACATATTCCCTTTTAAGTTTCACTCCTTACCATGGCACCTCTTTGAGGGTAACACTGAGATTAAGCAGGCTGCTTTCACAGTTTATTCACGAGAATAAAAGATCAAGTATACATTTAGCGTATGGCCTGTCAAATAAGCTAGAATGGAAGCAAACCAATACTGCATTTTAAATAGCATTAATGCCTCTCCTAAACTTAAAAACAAAAAAAATTGAGTATGTTCTGCAAGTTTTTCCAGTCTAGCACCCTACTAACAAAATGGAGTATGAAAGGAAAAGGCTAAACTATTGATGGAAGAAATTGTGTATTCATTTTCACTGATTAAGAGAAGTGCACTTTAAGTCTTATCTCATGACTGTAGTGAAGTGAAAAAAGAAATGCAACATTTCTGCTGGACTGCAGACATTTTCATTTGAGAAATCTCTACAGGCCCTGAAAGAAGTTTCTTCATGCAACTGGCCATAAACTGCATGACTGACAAAATCTAGGAGCGGGACAGTTAACACTATCACACACACTAGCAGAGATTGTTAATACTTCCCTTCTAGATCTCCAAAGACCTTCCTATAAAAAGGAAGTCCTGCCAGCTGCTGATTTGACATTTGACCCCAACCTCCTTACTCTTCGTTAGATTTATTCGATGGGGATGAAGAAAGGCAATCTATATCAAACTATAGCTTCTCCGATACATTCAGTTTGGCTCTCCTCTTGTGCGTAACAAGCAAACTGAGACATTCTTGATTCCTAGCAATGTAAGATTAGCAGCATGTGAAGAGCTGTGACAAATGTATACTACTTGTGGACTTGCCTCAGCCAAACTAAAAACTTTCAGAATTCCAACTTATTTTAACCGCTATTCATCATGCAAGTTCCATCCCAGAATAAAAGCTGAAAAATGCATAGTAATCTAGAAATGAGTTCTAGGTAAAGAAATGAGTGAGACAGCTGTTCAAAGTGACCAAGAATAAGGGTCCTGTGGGTATGCTAATAGGGTAGAGCACAGGTGACTACAGGAGGAAAAGAAAGATAGCTTTTCTAAAATCACATTGCTCACAGTTTAAACTGTTTTCTAGAAAACTATGGAAGGATGCTATATAAACACAACAAACATGGTCAGGCACAGAACAAATTAGTAAACAAAAATGAAAAAATCATACCAAGTCCAATATACCTAGTAAGAAGGGTTTCAAACTTATGCATGCAAATGAAGGCCCAATATAAAGGAGCCGCTTGGCCTGAGTACTGGTTTCATTACTATGGGGTTTTTTTCAGTTATTTTGAGGCTAAATTTGTTTTTTAAGTTTTTTGTTTTGAATTCAGAGTATCAGTTCCCCCTCTTACAAATCAAATATACTTTACACTATGGGCATACATAATTAGTCAATAGATTATTTCAGCTAACATCTCTGGTGTTATTTAGTTAAGCATGTAATATATTTAGAGCAAAAGATCATGCTTCATGACAACAATTTTATCAATTCTAATGACCTTTATCTCTATGGCTAAGGTTTCCCTGTAGTAGAAGCATCGTCAGAGGCACAGACTTGGTTTAAGGTCCTTCTCCCCACCCTGCCAGGGAAAGGGGACATATCAAGAGTTATGGACAGTGTATGCACAATGCTCTGATAAACAAAGAGCTCTGGTGAATCATGCCACTAGTGACAGCGTATCATCTGTTGTGCAACCTGTGGCGGCTGCAGTTAATACAGAATTACCCAGAACTTAAAGGTATTAACCACCTTCCTCAAAAACCCATGCCCTTATCTGGGGCCAGTAGAGAATCTAGGCTGCAGCCAAAGAAAAAAAGAACACCTTTCAGTGTACAAAATCCAGGTAATATATATTATGTTGACCTAATTCACCAAGAAGAAGAAGAACACAATGTATAGGTAAATGAAGCTATATCAATATAAAAATAATGCTAGGGAGATCAAAGTCCATTTGTTTAATATGAAGATGTGCTAATTAGTGAAAATATTTATCACAGCAAAAATTGATTACAAATATCAAAAACAAACATCATTAATAATAAAGAGAAAATAAATATTTCAATAAGTGAAAACAAATGTTAAGGCGTTCTTCAAAGTCTTTAATCTCGTATTCACTAATGCAATATGTACATTTTACACAAAGGTCTGCATTCACCAGTATGGTTTGGCATACTGGAATGAAAATAGCTCAATGTAGTGCTGAACTAGGTCCATAGTATTTGTGGTTAAATGGAGTCAAGAAAGCTCTCAAATACATTAGAAGAGACAATGAATAGACAGAACATTTCAATGTGCCTGGTTAAAACTTTAAAAAAAGGACTATCTTGTGTTTTAAACCTCTCGAGTCAACTTTGTGAAACAAAGTGATGTTGAGCAATGATGTTAGATATTCACTAACCAAAGGCGTATACTTCTGACTAGGTACTTACAGCTGCCAAATTTCAATGGGCATGAATGAGCGTCCATAGGAAAGTCCTCCAAGTGCATTGGACATTCAGCTTGGACTGTAAGCCTATAAGGCAAAAGACCGTTATGCATTTAAGTCAGTTAGCAAGACAAGAAAATCAATTCTACAAAAATGAACAGAGTTCATGCTGATTTAGGAGATGAAACTGAAATGTTATATTAAACTAATTAGAATTTAAATCAGCTCTTTCTTCTTCCCTTTTACGTGTTCCTTCAGAAGACACTGACTTATCACATGAAAAGCTTAAAACATCTGACCTCAAAACTGAGAAAAGGCCATTTAAATCAAAATATAAATTATGTAACTGCACTTTGTTAAGAACAGTCATTTTCTCCTCATAATATTCTGAGGTACGTGGGTGATTATATGGCTCTCAAAAGCTCATTACAAAAGCACATCAAATACAGTTGATTTGCCAAAGGACTGTGCTCCACAGTTTTCTGAGCATTTTTTTTATAGTTTGAATGGCAGGTGTATAAAAAAGCATTTGTGTTTTTTCCTAAAAGATATATTCTTACTCATTCTCCATGCTACTACTGATTAGTATTTTCATTTATATATAGGCATGACAATATGTTAACGATGCATTCACTTTTGCTCATTTTGTGAAATATTACCAGAAATATCTCAATATTAAATATGGGGATAAATACAAAAAAAAAATTTAAAACATTTTGAACAAAACTTTTGGCAGATTTTTGTTTCTCTCTGTTCAAGAAAAAAGAAAAAGAACTGCTCTGTTCCTGCATCTTATCCTTCCTGCTTCTGGGTGGAGATTTTTTTTAGCGTTTTTCCATCTCTCTTCATCCATCCTCAAATATCAGCTATGTTTTCCTGTACTCCCAGAGGCTCACAGTCATTTTATTCCCCACTATGTTCTGCCATCCTACCTTCCCCCCACCGAAAAATATTCCATATTTCTATTCCCCCACTTCCCAGGAAATTGGTTCTGAAATTGGGAGGAGGCAAAGAGGAGAGAGAAGAGTTAGAAAAAAGCTGGAGGCACAGGAAAGAACTTCATGAACCTCTGTCATTTCAAATAGGCATAGATAAAAATGTCTGTTTAAAATCTATAACATGAAAGTACTTTAGACATGAATCTCCTCAGAAGCAACATACACAGAAGTCATGAACTTAAAAGTAACAGAAAACGGTGTATTAATTCTAGCTGACATGACCCATTTTATTTAAAAAATAAATCTTCAAAATTATTTCAAACCGTATTTCTTATTATTTGTAGTATATGAATAGAATACTTCGTAGGAAGTAAACATTTCAGTTTATACAAACACAAGTTCAAATACTGATTTGAGCCCAGGCAAAAATACTACAAATGAAGTCTCAATTTATTTCCAGTAAACTATTTTGAACCTCTCCAACCACCACATCATTCAATATGATTAGTAGTTTATGTCTCAACACTCAGTACCATAACGGTTTGCATGTTGTACAATAAATCAGGCTTAAGGTATGCTGGAATGGCTGAATGAATAAGATTGCATAGTACAGGTTTGTTTTATGGCTCAAACTTTGTATCTTATTTAAGCTGGGGATTTTAAGTCTGCTTTCACAACCAATTCAATTTAATAAATACACTCAAAGAAAAACAAAGACAACTAAGCTAGCAGTTTCTCAAAATTTGAATAAAATAGTTTCAATGCTATAGATAATATTATTGCAAAAACAGTAATCGAAGAAATCAGTCTTATAAAAATAATGCTTCTGCCTATGCATTCATAATGTTTGTAGTTTTTTATAAATTATTTTCCAACCAAATTAACAATTTAATATATTTTACTAGCTAAATATTTACCTTAGCTGTTAATCATTCACAGCACGCAAAAAATAAAAATTACAACTCTAAGTAAAATACTGTACTTAGATACATAGAAACTGTTATTAGAGAGTAAGATCTGTTTTCCCTGCAGCTCTTGCTGGGAAGAATTTGAGTCCCAATTAACCCTTTCTTCTCCCTCTTTTTGTTGCCATTGATCTCAATAATAAATTTGCTCAAAGGCTCACATGGTTAGTGCAATGCATACATTAACAGGACTTTAGCAGAAGTCATATGCTATTTTAATCATTCTAAGATGGAGTTGGTAAACTCTCTTTGAACAATTCTTGTACAATGCTTCCCATCTAAAGGTCTCAAAGCAGGTGGTCAGTATCTTTTAATGTGCTTACAAGCATGAAAACTGAGCAATACGCAGGAAAACTGTTTTGTTCAAAAGCACCCAACAGACCTGTAGGAGAAATGGAAACAAAAGTACATTCTCCTAGTACTGTTTCTGCTGGGCCACAAATAAGGAAAGTCTTCTTGGAACCCTATTTAGTTGTTATTTGAAAAAAATCATTTTAAAAAATAGCATGAACAGAGAACAGATGAAAAGGCATACCTCATGGTGTACAAGAGAGTTCCATCATCTTGGATTCGTAGAAGCTTGTTTGGCATTGTCATGTTATGAGCCACTGACTTCTTCCCATTGTGAAAAAATGTATCTGGAGTCCAGATTTTGCTGGCCATTAAGTTGTTCAGTCGAAGAATGTTCATTGGGCCCTTAAATTTTAATCTCTCATCCTTCCATCTCTGACGGAAGAAAACATCTATTGTGTATTCCTACAATGGAATAAAGATATACTTTTTGACACAGTTAAACATTAATCTCCAGAGTATGAGAAAAGAAAAGCACTTGCTGCAAAAATCTGTTGGCAAAACGATATGAAAAACCATCACGTGAAATTGCACAATACTGAGAGGAACTCAAGATACTAAGGGTATGGTATTCGCCTTCATGATTGCTAAATGTTGTTTGCATTTTTAACCCTTCCAATATTTAGATTTCTGTAGCTGGTACCTATAGCACCTGTGGGACAGATAATTTCAATAAACACAAATATTTTACATTAAGAAGTGTGAAAAAAGATACAGAAGGATATTAAACTGTCCCTGCAGTAGATGCACCTGTAGGAGAGTAATCCAGCATTTCAAGAGCACAGAGAACAGCTGAATTTCAAACGAAGGAAATAAGCCTATCCAAAAAGCGTACAACACATCCAGGAAGACTGATACAAGAGAGATTTTTTCCAAAGGGAAAATAAACCAAGAGTAAGACCCTTAGGTAGTTACGGATTTTATTAGCATAAGCATATAGACAAGGAACAGTGGATTCTAGTTCTCCCTTGATAGCTGCTGAACAAAAGGTGACACATTACCCGCTGAAATCCATGCATATGTAAGGACTGATAAACAGGATTTCACTTTGATTCCTAATATTGGAAAAGAAGTGTAGTCTGAAGACAAGGATGCAAGAAAAAAGCAACTGATGACCTATACTACATGCCTGTTTCACTCTAGCTAGATATTCTATCTGCTATTTTTTGTTGCTATTCTAAATAAAAAAAAGAAGATACTAATTAAACATTGACAATATAAAGTTACCAACTAACTTCAAATTGGATGTGTGAATTCACTGAGTAGTTTGTAACTGTGAGCACTGCTTATAAACTGCAATTTCCAAGAACATGAAAATTCTGTAGGAAACCATATTGCGTAGTGGCAAGCGCTACCTTGGTGCAAATTCGGTTTTGCTGGGTATTTGCAAAATGGACCCATACGTTCAAATTATTAGCATGTTACAACAGTCTGTACTATTGCAATTACTTTGCAAATACAACAGCTTAAGCAAACTGTTTTATAAATATATTATCCTTGAATGGAGCAGTCCTGATCAAATCCCAACAATAAAAGGAAAAGAGCTAAAAGCAGTTTCAGAGAACTTATCGGATCCCATTAGTTTTTACCGGCTCCCTTGCGCGCTCGTTCACAAGGCGTAGGTTTACCTCAGTCAATCATATGGTTGTACAAAAGATGCTGACTGAGTAGGCAATGAGAAGCGACAGACAGCCTTTCCCAGCAATGTGAGCCCAGGAGCTGGCAGGAACTTTCCCAGATCAGGGCCAGAAGCAGGTGGAAAAGGAAAGAGCATTCTGTTAGCCGAAAGAGCATGGCAAGGGGAGGAGGCAAAGCAGTTGTAATCAGGAATTTTTAATTTCATTTGCACATTATACCTGATCTTTTTCTGTGTCTCATCACCGCCAGAAACACTCCCTCATGACAAGTAATTTGCCCCTTTCTCTATGATAGAACACACTGAAGTGTCCTGTTTTATTTGCTGATTTATGCACTGTTTTGTTTGCTAAATATTTTGTGACTTAAAAACCTATTTAGAAATTATTAGTTACTTAACAGTCCTATCATGCACCAAGAAAAATTAGAAATCACATAAAAGCAAGGATGATCAAGGGCAGCAGGAACGTGTGCTTGAAGACACAGCAGAATATATGAAATCTGACTAGAAATACCAGGTAACTCAAAGAAAACAATTGCCCTAAAAGCTTCCTTATGGTTTCTGTCTGAGAGGTTTCGTCCTATTTCAAATAGATAAGCTGTACTGATTATTCAAGAAAAAAAATCATTGCCACGTACAAGAAGATTGATGGTTGGGGTATAAAAAAGTGGGAAGAAGAGCCTGAGGGAGCAGGACTTTGAAATCCCACTGAAATTCAACAGAATAGTGTGATAACTCCTGCAAGCTCCTTTGACAAATATCCCCCCATATACATAGACAGATGAAATATATATCTTAAGTTTTTTCAATGTGTCCATCAATAAAGAATTTCAAAGGTCCTGCTTCTTCGGTCTTCCCTCATCTACAGAGAAAATTACAGGAGATACAAAAGAGAAAAAAAGTAGACAAGAAATGCCACTAAATCAAAACAGTAACATTTCAAAAAAACGTCTGATGCATGGCATCTGCTTAAGCAGAAGAACAAGCAGGGCTGAATCTGAGCTGCAGCCTTGAAAGATCCCACTGATAACTCTCTGACTGATCCACAAATAATTCTAATTTCTCCATTGGTAAATTTCCATCCAATCCACACAGGAAATCTTTGATTTACAGACCGTCCAATTTAGAAGATGGAAATAGGGAATAAACCAAGCTCCGGTGAGAATGATCACGACCACCTTCCCCTTCCACTCACCATAACAGTAATAAAACCTCACGTAGTTCTTACATAACTTTTCCTTCTATAGATCTCAATGCATTTTGCAAAAGACTTATCAGGATCTCAGTTTTACACGAAGGGAAAACAAGGCACTGGGATGAAATTAACTTGTTCCACACCTTTTTACAGAGTGATTAGCAGCAGCAAAATACAACCCAGGCCTCATATCCTGGTGCTATATTCACTGATCCACGTTCCCTCCTCAACCAAATCCATTCTACTTATGATCCTGAATATCCCTACAATTACTATACAGAACAAAAAGGAAAAAAAACTATTCAGGTATAATGAACATAAACAATGTGTTAAAAAGTCAGCGTTTATCAAACGGTTACATAAAGATTTTGTAATTATTTCCTATTTAAAACAGTAATCACTTTGCCATAAACGTTGGTAATGCTTACTTTTCAAGCAAGGCTAACACTCTGTTAAAAGTTCAAATCTGGATTCTAGACACAAAGATCCAAATTAATACCGAACATCTGTTTTATATAATCTACAGATACTTTCCTGTATGAAAGAGAAATTTGTTAGCATTGGGCAGTACCAAACTATTTCCAGTAAAGTATCTCCATAAAACCGCAGGCTCTTACTTCCAAAATTATAAAGGACTTCTGTGATGCTTTCTGGACATTCAAATGCTCCTTGCTGCTGCATGTCTGAAATGATGATTTCACAGCTGGACTCTTAACACAGTACAATTAAATACAAGCTGTAAAGTATGTATTATACCAGCCTCCAGGAAATTTTAGGGACAGAGAATGAGATTATTACAGTGCTAGAAGCACTGAGCCTCTGCCAGTTCACTGGTCAGAAGAATAACACGGTGAAATAATTGCATTCCTCTCTTAATATGCAGTAGTTGGGGCTGACTTTCGTAACATAACTAAAGACATCAGTATCTCTGGGAGAAGCTTTAACTGACTTGGGTATGAGCAATCCTTCCCCCTTACAGGACAGTATTCTAGATTTGTACAGAAAAAGTTCAGAGCATACAAAAAATTACTCTCATCCTCTTAGCTCATGGTTGGCAGATTTTGGCAGTCTCTGCATCTCCAGTAGAGATGGAAGTATTTCAAACATTTCATAAATGGTGAATATCCAGTAGCAAGCAGTATTGTCGTGGAGCAGACTGAACATTTTATTAATCACCTCCTGGAACAGAGCATTTTATGTAGTGAACAGTTAAGGCCAGAGTTCCTCATGCCCTACTCGTGCAGGGAACTTCCCTCTATAGGAAGTTTGGCTTTTTCTTGTCTACTGTTAAAGCCCTTAACATGCACACATATATAACCATGAACACAAACTTTAAGCACTGTAAAATATAAAACTTTAAAAGATAAATGTAAAATTTTTAAAATAAGGAAAGTAGAAACAGCCCATGTATCTTTTTTACTGATTCCTTCATGACAGTTGAAAATATTGTGGTTGAAACATTGCTGAGATAAACACAAAAGATTTATGGATCTAATTCTTGCCTGGCTAATGCACAGGATTCATTTTTAATATTTTTTTCATATTAGCATAATTCCTTAATTTTATTTCTTAAAAAGCACTGTTCTCAGTTACCATATCTGCCTCTTACTTTCCTTAAGGCAATGTCATTTTTCCTTCAATTTAGTTTAAAAAGATTATTAATATGCAACCAATATTATTGCATATTAATATAGTTAGTGTGCAACCAAGGATCAAAACCATTTCCATGAAACCAAAGAAGCTGTTATAGGCAAGAGCCTCAAAAAATGCAATTATTCAAAGTAAACTCATCTGTTTGGTGGACAGATCACAGAATCACAGAATCGTTTAGGTTGGAAGGGACCTCTGGAGATCATCTAGTCCAACCTCCCTGCTCAAGCAGGGTCCTCTAGAGCATATTGCCCAGGATCACATCCAGATGGGTTTTGAATATCTCCAGCAAAGGAGACTCCACAACCTCTCTGGGCAACCTGTTCCAATGCTCTGTCACCCTCACAGTGAAGAATTTTTTCCTCCTGTTCAGATGGAACTGCCTGTGCTTCAGTTTGTGCCCATTGCCTCTTGTCCTGTCGCTGGGCACCAGTGAGAAGAGGCTGGCCTCATCCTCTTGACACTCCCCCTTCAGATACTTATACACGTTGATGAGATCCCCTCTCAAGCTTCTCTTCTCCAGGCTGAACAGGCCCAGCTCTTGCAGTCTTTCTTCATAGGAGAGGTGCTCCTGTCCCTTCATCATCTTCGTAGCCCTCCGCTGGACTCTCTCCAGGAGTGCCATGTCTCTCTTGCACTGGGGAGCCCAGAACTGGACACAGTACTCCAGGTGAGGCCTCCCCAGGGCTGAGGAGAGGGGCAGCATCCCCTCCCTCCACCTGCTGGCAACACTCTCCCTAATGCACCCCAGGAGACCATTGGCCTTCTTGGCCACGAGGGCACACCGCTGGCTCTTGCTTAACTTGTTGTCCACCAGCACTCCCAAGTCCTTCTTGGCAGAGCTGCTTTCCAACAGGTCAGCCCCCAGCCTGTATTGCTGCATGGGGTTATTCCTCCCTAGGTGCAGGACCCTGCACTTGCCTT